CCCCTTTCCTCCCTCCCCTCCCCTGCCGCTATGCGTATTTCGCCGCAGCGGCCCGTGCGCCCCCGCCGGCGACCCTCGGCCACCCGGCCCCCTCTGGTCGCGTTGCTGGTTGCCCTGCTCCTTTGTTTGTCACTGATCGGTGTGGTCTTGGCACACAATGGGCACCACCATCATCACCATCATGACGGGCATACCTGTTCTCATGGTCATCATCATCATCACCACCACCACCATGGCCATGATCATGGTCACCACCACCACCACCATGACCACCACCACGACCACGGGCATAAGCATGTCACTCCTCCTTCAGCCACCACGGCTGACAAGGTCGCCGATCACACGCACTCCCATGCCAATGTCCTGCCCGTCTCCAACTCCTTTGGCGTGGAGGTGCTGAACATGCTCAACGATCTGACCTGGGTGCCGATTTTCGGCGGCCGTGCCTCGATCCCGGCCTTCTGCTGCTCGCCGCTGGCCAACGCCCTGGTGGCCATTGCCATTGTGTCCATCTTCCCCCACACCATCCTGCAGTTCATCCCCTTCGATACCAGCGTCCCGAAGGAGGTTGACGGGTCGGAGGCCCCGCCGGCCTCACGCTGGCTGCGCCTGCTGCTGGGCTTTGCCATTGGTGGTCTCATGGGTGATGTCTTCCTGCACTTGCTCCCTCATGCCTTTGTGCGTCAATCCTTCGTGCTGCACCGCGCCGATGCATCCTCCCTGCCCCTTCGCCCCTCCTCTAACGACGTGGCCTCCCTTCTTTCGCCCTCGGCACCCGGATTCCCCTCCCATCCTCCTCTCTCTCCCCCCCCCCCTACACACGTACATCCATGCACCGCTGCAGGCTCCCCACTCCCACGGTGACCACGGTGACCACGGCCACTCGCATTCTCATGGCGGCCACGGCCACTCGCACTCGCACTCTCATGGTGACCATGGTGCTGAGGACCCCCACCAGCAGGGTCTTGCGGTGGGTTTGGCCTTGCTGGCTGGTATTGTGGTTTTCTTCCTGATTGAGAAGATCATGCGCATTTCCAGCGGCGGCCACGGCCACTCGCACTCGCACTCGCACTCGCACAGCACCGAGGGCAAGAACTCGACCAAGAGTACCGCCAAGGATGCCCCCGCGAATGCCAAGACTCCCAAGGACGACAAGGCCACCGCCGACAGCAAGAACACCTCTCTGGCTCCTGCCGAGCCTTCGGCCAGTCTGCAGTCCCTGCGCATTGCAAGCCTCCTGAACCTTGCGGCCGACCTGGCGCACAATACCACCGATGGTCTGGCCCTGTATGCGGCCTTCCACCGGGGCGGCCCGGCCCTTGGGATCACCACCACCCTGGCCGTCCTGGCACATGAGTTGCCCCATGAGATCGGCGATGTGGCGGTCCTTGTGCGTGCCGGTCGGACTCGTGCTCAGGCCATGCGCATGCAGGCCTGCACGGCCATCGGTGCCTTTGGCGGTGTTTTCCTGGGCTGGATGATTGAGAACTGGGGCCTGGGTGGCGGTCAGTCCCTTGGCTCCGGTGGCTGGGTCATGCCCTTCACCGCTGGCGGCTTCGTTTACGTGGCCATGGGTGCGTTCTGCAGGCCAATTGCCCTTCATCCCTGCTGCCTTCCTCCGACGCATAGACCCGCCTCCGGGGCATCTCCTTCATGTTGCCTTTTGTTGACACATGTACACATGTACTCTCCCTCTCTCTCCCTCTCTCTCTCTCTCTCTCTCACACACACACACACACACCCACGCACACGACTGGCAGTTGGTATCCTGCCCACCCTCTTCGAGGACTTCGAGCACCCGGCCGGCAGGTCGACCGCCGGCAAGAACATCGCCCGCCTAATGCAGGCCCTCGGTGAGGTGGCTTTCATTGGCCTCGGTGTCGCGGCCATGTATGCCGTCGCCCTGACCGAGTAGGGGGGCCGTCTGTTCCTGCCCTCTTAGCGCGAGGCACCGGCGCTCAAGTTCCCCCACAGCCATGTGTGCGCACGCGCGCGCGAGAGGGAGGCCTTCCTGGTGTGGCAGGCCCTGGTCCCTTCCATGTAGACACAACATATCCACTCCCTCCTCCTGTCTTCTGCTGCGTGCATGCTCTCCCATCTCCTCGTGCCTGGTCATCTGGTGGCAGCGATTCTAAGTGTGAAGAATGTGTATTTGGGCGCGAGGGAGGAAGGACAAAAGAGGCACCGGGAAAAAACAACAACAAAAGAGGTGGTGGCTGAAGGAGCGAGGGCAAAAGGGCAGCGCATGTGACATCCATCCATCCGCATATATATGTATGTATATATATATATATGGATGGGACAGGCGCATGGTGGGAGGAGGGGGGGGGGGGGAGCAGACAAGGACATTTGCCGGGCGCGATGATGGTCGGAGGAACTGGTCCGAGTCGCTGCCGCACCTGTCCGCGCGCGCACGCGCGCGCGCGGGCATCACCGGCTTCCATCATTTGCGCGTCGTCACCCATTGGGATGGAAAATTCAAGGACATTTCCCCTCTAAAATGAGAGAGAGAGAGGACAGGAAGGAGGTGCCTATCGGGAAAACGGAAGAGAGCGGAGCAGACCTCCAGCCAGCAGTGTCAAGGACAAAAAAGGAGAACGCAGGGGGGAAGACAGGAGGATCGCAAAGCTGGACAGAACATTGCCAGCCTTGCTTCCGCCTCCGCCCCTCCTCTCCAGGGGGAAGGGTGAGGCAGGAAATGGGGGAAGCAAAGGAGGAGGGGGGGGGATGGCATGCCCGTCATCAGCCACTGTGGAGCTAATCATCATCCTCGGAGGCGGAGGAAGAGGAGACCGAAGAGGAGACTGAAGAGGAAGACCCCGAGCCGGAAGACTCGTGGCTCTGATGAATGGGCAGATGCTGCGAGGAGGCCGTGGCAAAGACCCCGATAGTGGCCGGCGTGGTGGCCGACCGCATCAACATCGCCTGACGAAGGGCGCTGATGTCCACCATGACGTCGCCCTCATCGTCTTCGCCGAAGGAAAGGGGCTCAGACTCGGCATCCAGGAGGGTCGGCTGCAGGTCCGTCACTGGGTGCTCCCCACGTCCCGGCTCCACATCCTCCGACGGTCCAGACAGGGGTGACGAAAGGCCGGCCTCGCCGCCGGTGCGCCGGCGGAGCAGCGACGAGCTGCGCGACGGCGAGGGCAGGAGAACCACCTCGGCCAGGCCGGCCGGAAGCACTTGGGTCTGAGCCTGCTGATCTGGCGAGGCGCCGGCCCCCCCTGTGGACAGACTGGGGCTATGGCCACTCGGGCCAGATAGTGACGGCCGGGGGGAAAGTCCAACTCCGCGATTGAGGATGAAGCTCTGCGGGCTGGGTAGCCCGCCCCCGGCGCCGGTCGGCGTCAAGGGCCCGGTCCGCGAGTGCGAGCGGAGGATCAGTTCCGGGAGGGTGGGCGACGCGCCAGAGCCGGGACCCTCGCCATCGGTCAGGATCTCATCATGGCGGCTGCTCAGCTCTCCCGGCCCCTGCTCCTCCTCCGCCTCGTCGGCATCATCATCATCATCATCATCATCATCATCTTCGCTGGTATACATGCCAGCTGCCACCTTGAGCGCCTCCATGCTCGGGCTGGTCGGGGTCGCCGTGCCGAGCGTGCTGCTCCGGCTGCCGAGCTGCTGCTTCTTGCTCAGGACCAGACGGTCGCTCGAGTGCGACTTGAGCGGCGGGGTGTACGGCAGCGAGGAGGTCGAATCATGGCCCAGATCATCGGTGGTCGAGGAGGAGGAGGAGGCGGAAGAGGAGGCCTCCTGGAGGGAGTCAGCACTGTCCCCGGATGGCGGGGCGTCCTTCTCCTCGTGCGCAGGGTCGCCGGCCACGGCAGGAGGGGGACGAGCCTCCGTGCCGGTGGCAGATGACTCTTTCTCCTTGGTGGCATCGGAGGCCGGGGCCGCGCCCCGGATCATCGGGTTGGCGAAGCCCTCCGACGCGGCGAGGCTGGTGACCGAGCCGATGGCCGCGCCGGACGCCCGGCGCAGGGCAGTCGTCGACACGGCGGCCGCGGCGGACACCCGTGCATATTCCTCCAGCAAGTTCAGCTGGTCGACCTCCTGGTAGAAGCGCACGCCGGTCGTGGTCATGGCCCAAGTCCGGACCAGATTGCTCAGCTGGAAGGTGGCATCAGCATATGCCTGATCGAAGATGTCGGCCGGCACATCGACCACCTCGGTCTGGGTGCCGCGCCGGCGCGAGGGCCCCCCGAGCAGCGAGCTCCCGCCAACAAGCGATTGCCGACCGGCCGGGGCCCCGGCCACCGTGGCCATGGTCGCCCCACGTGGAAGGGACAAGGTCGAGTGGCCGCCGCTGGTGGAGGCCACACCGGTGCCCATGGTTGTCCCACGCGGCAGGGACATGTGGTTGGTGGAAGGAGACCCACTGATGGCCACCACCGGGTGCATCTCCGCCGGCTCGTCGAAGAAATTCGGCGAAGCCGACTGCCCGCCGGAGGTGTTGCCGGAGCCCACCGAATCCAGGGAGGTGTTGGAGTCGGTCTTGCTGGCGCCGGAAGAGCGCCGGCCCGTGCGACTGCCAAACAGCCCACCGGCCTCGGCGCCCTTGCTCACGACATTCCCGAACCCGGCACGCTCGATGATGGTGAAGCGTGTCTTGTCATCGAGGTTGAGCTCATACGGCGATCCCGGCAGGATGAAGAGGTCCACGACGGCAGTGACTTCTGCAAAGCGTCGAGCCTATGCACAGAGGAGCACCGGGGGGGGGGG